TGAACATCACACTTCAGCAGGTACGTGGATTCTGCGTCCAGAATCCATATCAGTGACTCAAAACAGCCTCTTAGTTGGACTGCCGCTGTCAAGAGTCAGGCAGTCCCCCTGCTGAAAGAATAAGCAAAACAGTCCAATCGGAACCTCGTGACTCCAGAGGGGACGCACTTAGCAACCACGAGCCAAGCGAAAAATGCTAAGGTCAGGACGCATGTGCATGTGTGCGCGCACGAAAGACAAAAGAATGAAGACATGGCAAGGGGACGGGACGGGACAAAGGTGTATGTGGTTGTGATGAAAGGAACCAAGTGCACAGGGACAAACAATGAAACCCACCTCATTGTAAAGACCTAGGCCTAGGCCACCTAAAACCTGGGTTTGAAGTAAATGTGGTTGCGCACGTACACGCTAAGGCCGGGACCAATGTGCACGCAAACGAAAGAAAGGATGAGATGAAAAGACATGAAGACAGGAGGACATGAAAGAAAAGAGGAAAACAGATGTGTCCCCTGGAAAAGGATGAGAGGGGAAACCAAATGAAGGACCAACGAAACCAAGCCTCACATACACACACAAGAGCTTGTAAGAGCACAGTTCAGGGTGGTCCCAAGAGACCATTAATTTTTTACAAATGAGTTGCTGCATTGGCCGACTAGTGCAAGAAGACCTAAACCTGTCAATGGCCATGCGCAAACCGCAAGGTGAAGCAGTCCGCAACAATATGGTTTCAATTCACAGATCTTGAAGGCAGGTACGTCGATCCAACGTCCCGGATCGATATCACCAGCGCACATCCAGTCTTCGCTGGTGCAAGACTGGATGGGCTGCTTGCACCCCCTTCAGCGTGCAATCGGAATGGTAAAATTGAAAGCCCCTCTACACGGGGAGTGACACACGCACACACATACACACTCGCACACCCATTTCTGTGCAGCCACAGGTCATTCGGACCGGCGCGGCCTGTGGTAGAATTCCAAGGCATTCACCAGGGTTGTCCCGCGGCATCGAACATTCCAGCGGTTCACAAACTGATCATCCAACCTGAAGTTGAAGTGATCTTTGAGAAGAAAACTTCGAGGACTAGTCAACCTTGACTAGGCAGACTCAGTTGAAGAATAGGGACGAAAACCAAAGGAACCATCAATTCAAGGCTCAAAATCCTATCATAAGACCAGACCTGGCCACATTGTCTTGATCGAGGGCCACTCCTCCTTGGGGCATTCTCGATAGATATCACGCTCCACCCACTGACAAGCATCCATCGCAAAGGATGGCCACTGGAGATGGTAGCGCAACAGCAAGTCTTCCACTTGGATCCGGGGGCCTCCGTATCTCGCGTACTCATCGCCTCCGCTGTCTCAACATGAAGAGGCCCGGGACGAAGGGACCAAAACAGGGGGTTCGGGGGGGGGGTTCGTTCTTCTGGGCATCCAAAACATGGCCCATATATCATACCTTTCGTTTTTTCTAGCTCACGCCTGGGCCCTCCTGGCAAAATCGAAATGGAAACATGATGAAACATGATGAAACATGTTCATCTTGGGCCAGGAAGCAAAACATCTTCATCAAGCCTTCCTCATGAGCATCCAGCAGATCTGCATCTGCCCCACTGAGGCATCCCATGAAATTCATCACGAAGGGCGATCGACCAAAGCCACACCAATCGAAGATGCCCACGTCCAAATCGCCATGCTCGTCGTGCCACAAATACGCATTGTCAGCTTGCAGATTCATGTGCATTGCACCAACAAAGTCACTAGAGCTCGCCAAAAAGAGTCGAATATCATCAAAATGCGGGGCGATGGCAGTGATTTCCTCTCGCATTTTTTCGAGCTTCTCTTTGTTCTTCCCGGCCTTGGTGAAAATTTGAGGAGCCACATTCGTGGCGAAGTCGATGCCTTTCTCCAACATCGTGGCCTCAGCAGCTGCAAACGGAGTCTGTCGTGAAAGGCTTCTGCCTCTTCTATTTGGGCCAATAAGCTACCTGACCTAATTGTGGCCGAATAGGTAGTTACTGGCCTAATATGGAACTGAGCAAGTCTCACAAGGCACTTTGATGTCGGTCTGAACAGAATCAATGATTTGTCACCCTTACTTCCGCCTTTTTCGCCGATCAGTTCTCCCTCCTGCCAACTCGGCAGCAGAATTACCCCCCCACCCCCACCATTAGCATATGCAAGAAACGCAGCCATTGGTCAAAACTTCAAAGCGCTTCTGCTTCTGAGCCTTCCTCGATTTCACCTGTGAGATGCATTGACCAAGGTGCACCGAAACAAAACTCCACAAACGAACTCAACACAGATGATGATCCCAGACGTATTGTACATCTGAAACCTTTATATCCAAAGGCTTTTTCCACACAGAAACCACACACCAAGCCTACAAAGAAAGGGAAAAAGGATGGACCCCCCCCTAACAACCCTTTCTGCATCTTTTGACCTGGCTCTCCAAGAACTCCTTCTCCGTGTACTTGGTCATTGCCCCGAAGAAGGAGTCATAGCGTCCCTGGTGGTCCCAGGCAGCCAGGTGAGCCATCTCCCGGAAGAGCGCATAGTAGACGCTGGGAGCGTCTTCCAGCAGGTAGTCCTCATCCGCGGTCGAACGGTCGACCCATGGTCGAACGGTCGAACGGTCGGAGACTCCGGCGGGAAGGGGGTAGTCTTGAGTCTTCCGAGCGGTTGGAAGCGTTCCGTTCCGCCCCCCGGCCTGATACTTCCCACAAACAGGCAAAATCTCAAAGGGCTTCCTTTGAATCGGCTCAACCTTCCCATTCACAACCTTTCCACGCTTTCCAAAGTTGATGCGCTCAACGGTCAAGACGTAGTTGGTCGTATCGCGGTTGATGTCCGCAAAATAGAGCTTGGGGATCCGAAAGGGAAACCTTGGTGCGAAAGCCGCTTCGCTCGCGGCGACCTCGCGACAACAACGCCGGTCTTGCACAAAGCGTTGGCTTCCGGCGTTGAAGCGACGGTTGGCTTCCGGTGGGTTGGACCCTTGCGAAAGACTGTGCGGCGCTGACGTCACACGCGCCTGCGTTATGCAATGATGGCACGCAACTGCTTCTGCTCAAGGTTGCCAGCAGGATTCGCAGGACCAAATCAATGAAAAGCCCCCAAAAATATGGGGCAGGAAGTACCTGATCAAATACCAACACAATACCTACACCTTCTCCGTCCTTCTTCTTGCCTACGGTCGTGTCTCCTTTGTGCCTGTTTCGGCCGCGGGTGGGGCCCTTCTGCCCTTGGGCCGAGCGGCAAATGCTCACAGCAAATGGAGGTCAAGAGCTCGGCGGAGTCCATATCTCCATAGGTCGAGATCTGCATCCGGTACTGCTTGCCCGTCTCGGATTCAAAGTAATCCCATGGATACCTGAGGAGAACGGTCTGAACGAGAAGAACGAGATAAGAGAAGAAGACGAGGGACCAGGCAGAACTAGCTCAAGGATCAAGCAAAAAATGGGTTTGTACAGGCAGACTCATCCTCGGAAAGGTACTGGTTTTGCAAGAACTAAAGTTGATGGTTAAAAGGACCAGGAGTTGTTGGGTCACTTGCGATGTGTTCCCTTACTACGTAAACGCGCACACGCGCGAGCGCGCGCGAGGGCAGGCTAGTGAGGGCCGCATTCATGTCGCATGTCGAAAAGTAATTCATACAGTAGGGTTTCCTACACCACGCCACTTTGGAGGGATCCGGTGGTGGTAGTGGGGGGTATTGAGGGGATGATGGTTTGCATTTGTGACAAGCTTGTTCACGCCCGTGGCACGAGCATTGGACCCGCTCTTGCACGAACATTTGAGAGACTGCTAAAGGATTCTGCAAGAGCTTCGATAACGAGGCCATTGACTCAAGACCGCTGTGTTTGAGGCTGTCCCACTGGTCCCTTGAAATGTGTCATATGATTCTTTCAAGAGCTGGGTGCTTGGCAAAGAGCTGGGTGTGCAGGTTGGGATCTGGCTTGGCATACTGCAGGTCGATGAAGGCCTAAGTCGGTGAAGTGGCCCCAAAAAGCCCTTGCTTCTAGAGGGGCGTAAGGAAAGACAGAACGACAGAACGGAAAAAAGAGTTGGGGGGGTTGAGCTAGTGAGCGAGAGAGAGAGAGAGAGAAGGCTCACTGTTTCCTCAAATAGAACTCCGCGTACTGTGCCGAAGGAACGGCGATTTTGTGCCGAAGGCCATTTGTTGGAGAATAGAACCAATTGTTTCGGAACTTGTCAAGCTGATTTTTCATTTTTCCTGGAGAAATCTTCAGGCACCTTGTGGCCAGCCCCTCCGGCTGCATCGAAGCCCGAGTGTGGCAGCTGCTCAACATGGACCACTTTCGTCACGTAGTTGTCCGCTGGAAGGGTGCCAAACTTGTGGAACGCATCCTTGCAACTACAACAAAGCGTTAAAGCCTGCGGTTTGAGGGAATTCAGAGTGGAACATTGAAGAAAGGTAGCAGCTAGGTCCGTGTACACCGAGCGTCCGTGTACCAGCTCGGTCCAAAGGATCTCAGTTGCTCCGCGGTATGGGGAAACTTCATGGCCGAGAAGTGCCCAGGCAGATTCTTCAAGGACATCTCTTGCATCTCTTTGTGGCTCAAGCGCTTGAACGGTGGAAGTCGACTGCGAGGGTCTGACCCTCCTTCCAGCCGCTTCGGAAGCTGCACCGGAGACGGCAGGACCTGTGCTCCATCGCGGAAGGCTTGCATCTTCTTGGCAGACTCCTTCGACCCCAAACAAAGCCAACGGAGGAACCCCCGACCCAACGTGTTCTTCCCCTCGTTTTGCAACAACACAGCTTCGACAGAACAATGCCTTCAGCTCTCCCTGGAACCCTCGTTCCAAGTCCTGAATCCAAGCAGGCTCTTCGCCTGCACGCCAGACTCGCGTGGCCAACTCCTTGCCTGAGATCCGGATACTGATCCATCCTTCCGCAGGTCCACTGCCAGACCTGGGTGCCAGACCGTGCGTCGTTTTTTCTTTCGTCCAGGTCTTCAGCACGGGCATGGTGAGGGACCTCATGTTGAATTGTTTGGAGTTCTATGATCTATGATCTATGTGTTTATACAACTTTTAATGTACTTGTATTGATTTATGTGTCCTCCATCCGACTTTTGTGACTGGATGATACTGGATGTGTGTGTGTGTGTGTGATGATCCGTTGAACTGGTGGATGTTGGTAACGCCTTTCTGGAAAATCCACTTGCACTTGCTAGCGAAGTAGGCGTGGTTGAGCAAGCATCAGCTCCTCTGCAACCGGGGTTCAAAACAACAAGTAGCTTTTTGATCCAATCTAGTGTTTGATTGTTTCAAGTGGCCATGTCTTTGCAAAAAGACTTGGTTTGAAGGGGCTCCTGGGACATCTGCATCACAGGGCACCTAACCTGAGAGGCCTCCCACTCATGTCAACCGGTCTCATGCGTTTCAGAACCTCAGTGGTGTGGGTGGCTTCGGCGGTTTGCTGGTGCCACCAACATGTGCATCCCGATGTTCCTCCCCTTTCAACAAAACATGGACATCTGAACAGTTGCGCTATTCCCACTTCCTGGAACCCACACTCTGCTTCTTAGCCACTGGAGACGGTACCGCAGCCGATCCCCTGCAAGCTCCAGCTGTTGCACCTCCGAACCTTTAGCCAGGCGCTCCTCCTCTGCGGGAGACTTCAAATCCCGCCCCTTTCGTACCAAAATGCCGCCCGCCTCGCCGCCGCCCACGATCTGCCACAGCTCCATGGGGTGGAGCTGTAACCAAGCGCGACGGACCCCCAACGGTGTCTCACGGCAAAAGACACTGTCTCACGGGTGAAGGATCGGAATAGGTTGTTGAAAGTGGAGAGCCAACTGTACCAAATGGGAAGAACATGGAAGAACGGACTGAGGAAGGATCATGAGGACAATATCATGTTCTTGAGGACTCACCATCTGAGTACACACCGGAAAGAGAGTGAAAAACCTCGCACCTGACAGCCGAGTTCGTTGTGTCACAGCCTCACGAGCGACAGGGATCTGCTTATGGTGTAGTCCGCTGATCTTCCGTTGTCTGCTTTTTACATTTGAGAAATGGTGTAAGCCTTGAAACCAGCAGCGGAAAATGTATCAAAGCAGTCTGCCGGACCACAGCCCCCTTGAGTCCACCCAAACCCTGCGAAGGTGTCGAAGGGTGTGTAAAAGAAGCCCCCACGCTGAAGCGGTTTAAGGGGAAAGTTTGCAGGCCACCTCATAGTTTCTGGGCTCGAAAACATGCTTTCCAGATGTGTCCTGTAGATCTTCCCTTCAACAAAAATGTCCTTTTTCTGTCTTTTGGTCGCCCAGTCACGCCTCTTTCCAGCTGGACAGTCCCAGCAGGTCCAAGTGGCCCAGCAGTCCGGTGACTTCGCACGAAAGATCGGGCCAAGGAGCCCAAGATGCCCGAAAGCCATCCCCGTCCACAACGAATGGCTATCTCCGTCAACGAAAAAAGGGGCTCAGACTCAGACTCAGACTCAGACTATCTCGGCACCCAAACACCAGAGAATCTGTTCGGTGCATCGGCAGTGCCCCGAACAGAGTTCTTGGGAGTGCCCGAAAACCTGAGGATCTAAGGGGGTTTTGTCCAACAGCTTCATCATGGATTTCACCATATTAGAATCCGAGCAAACCCATGTTCTGCTGTTTCCAATTCTTCCCGGTTCCCATCGTCCGCCACCGATCACGAACCCGGAGGAACGAAGCCCTCCCTCCGGGGCGGCCGAGCGACTGAACGCCACCATCACTAAAATAATGAACGTGATCAAACTGATTCCTGAGCAAAGCAAAGGGTTTTCAGCAAAGGGTTTTGCAGCAAGCCTGAAAACTTGACTCATGTCCAGAATCTGTCTGCACTGAAAATGTGTTGCATGGCAAACGCTCCAAAAAGGCCCCGCCCGTTGAACGCTCCCAAGAAACCCATCAAGGCTTCCAAGCGCTTGGGAGCAGAGAGATCGAAGAAGAGATCCATTTGATCCAGGCCTCACAGTTGCAGCCCCAGCTGGCCGGATATACACAATGACTTCTTTGACAAAAGTAAGCATCCAGGTCTTGAACTTCTACCAAGGATGCGTGTGTTCCAGCTCCATGTTAGTACGGTTTTCTTGCTCGTCAGAAGAAACGCCCCTTCTGGGGGATCTCCAAGGGGCTGGTCGCCATTGTGAACTCCCGCCGCGCTGGCGGAGAGAAGTTGCCCTTCACCACAAGCCTGTTCTTGCAGCGCACGCACGGAGCGAAGCTGTTTCCATGGAGCCCACAATTGCTTCAGAGAGAAACATCCCACGTGCTCCTAGATACAATACCCAACCTGAGACCATGGAGGGTTTCGCGTAGAAGTCTCCAAAGCTTTGGTGTTCACACCATAGTCTGTGAAAATTCTGAAACAGCTGGAAATTGGTGCCTTTTCTGGGGATAGACTTTTTTTATGAGTGGCCGGCTGGCCTGGCCTGGCCGGCTGGCCTGGCCTTTTTGGCCGGGTGGCCTTTTGGCTGGTGGCCGGACACGAAAAAAATATAGTGTGCCTTTTCTTGTGCCCTGGTCACCATGTCTTTCTGGTGTTTCTTTCAACTATGCTGCTTGTGCCATCGATCTTCTCGCCGGTGCCAGACACGGTATGAGTCAGGCAACAACGTGTCTGGCTGCCAGGAAGCTTGACGGTGCTGGAATCCTTTCCGCAGTCCAGCAGCTCCTCCGAAGAAGGGTCACCTTTGGAGAGCCGATAGCAAATCATGAAGGGCCCATAGTTGGAGTCAGCGTAGAAGTCCGTGAGGCCCCTGCGCGGAAGTCTGTGAGCAATTTGCTGGCCTCTGTAGTGGGAACGATCTCTTGCTGGTCGTTTGGGTACTCAAGTGAATCGGTGCTTGACTGGCAACGTACTGATTCACTCGAGTACTAAACTTGACTAGCAAGAAAACTTCGCTCAAAATCTCGTCGTTGAAAAAGGAGACCTGCCCAAAAGTTGTCACGGAAAGACAAATTCCACTGTGTTATCAAAGAATGTGCCCGCCTCAAAAGCTCCTCCATCTGCTCCCCCTCAGCTGCAGACTGACCACCTCGCGTCTTAGCTACCAGACCCTCAATCTGAACCGGCGTGCGGTTGTGTGGGAAGGCCAAAGATGTCAAAAAGAGCAGAAAGCTTGCTATTTACTAGCGCAAGTTCCAAGATTAGTCTATATACTATATACAAGCTCCCCCAAAAGCCCTTCCAATGATCCCACCTTGAGCGTAGCTAGCTACATCTTCTGAGAGGAATTTGCTCCAGGCAGTCAGCGACTCTTCCATCTCCGGATACTCAAAAATACTCAAAGACCTCAGCACTTCAGCCGACACTGAAGTCTCAGAAGCATCTTCAAGCAAAAGCTCCAGCAAGAGGTTGAGCATCATCACTGGAATCACGTCCGTTTCTCTGACTTGCAACAGGCAGAATAGACTGGAAATGGGTTGAACATCACCGAACAATAACATCGGGGGTCATACAGTAACAGGCGACATCTGGATCTCCCAATATAGATCCTGCTGCACTTCAACATGGACCCGATTGATACGCATTGATACGCCCCGATGTAGGCTGAATGCCCTGTGGTGAATCCAAATTTGTTTGCTTCCAAATGGTCCCAAAGCGTGAAGCTTCACTCGAAACAGAGCCAACTTCAAAGTGACTGCTTCTGGCGCCCACCCCTCACCTTTGAGATAGACGAACCCCACATTCTGCCACATCCGCCTCGAAAGAATTCCACCTCCCAAGCTCCCCCCGCCGTTGCTCAAGCCCGCCACGGAAGAACGACCGCCACACAGATCACCACGAAGGCCACGCGGATTGACAAGACATCGGACCTCGCGCGCACTGAACCGAGGCGGATCGATTGGGGGGGAGGCGGGCGGACCGGGGAGGAGGATGGGTCTTCCGAGTTGGAGAAAATGGACGGGCTATTTGCTACTAGTAGTACTGGCCTCCAACCTACTGGCGATGGCCTCCAACCTACTGGCGATGGCCACCAACCTACTAGCGATAGTCTCCAACCTACTAGCGATTGCAACTCCAACCTACTAGCGATGGCCTCCAACTCCAACCTACTAGCGATGGCCTCCAACCTACTAACGATGGCCTCCAACTCCAACCTGCTAGCGATGGCCTCCAACCTAGAAGCGATGGCCTCCAACCTACTAGCGATGGCCTCCAACTCCAACCTACTAGCGCCTCCAACCTAATAACGATGGCCTCCAACTCCAGCCTACTAGCGATGGCCTCCAACCTACGCGCGATCAACCTAGAAGCGATGGCCTCCAACCTACTAGCGATGGCCTCCCAATGGCCTCCAACCAGCTAACGTATCCGTTTCTCCAAAGGAACTCGTTCAGACTCTTCTTTTGTCTTCACGCGCAGGTGCGCCATTTTTGGGAAAGGTGGCGCGGCAAACACTCTGAGACCGTAGCAGCTTGTTGGAGATGACTTTGGCCATTCGAACCTCTGGCAAGCACTGGTTCAAGAGTGTCACACCACTCAAAAAGGAACACTTCTATATAGAGGAGAGGAATGAGCGACAGCCGCTCTGTTGCTCTCCAGCTTCCTTCTAAGTCAAAGGTGGTACCACCAAGCTCACCCTGCAAACACATATCTGAGAAGGGGGGGACGAAAGCCAGCTGCTGCTACAGGGGGCAGGAGCCCTACGCCGATATGTAGTCAACCTCGCAGGCATCCCCACCGAAACTCAATCCAAACTCATGGACACTTTCGGCTCGCGCCCTTACCAGCAGGCTTTCGTCGTTTGCTATAGCCGCCACTGCCTGAACACTGCTATGCCTCTTGACTTGTTTGTGCAACCAATTGCAAGGGTTGTGCTACAAGAAAGGACTTTTCCACGGCATGATTAGCATAGCAACTACTGATCCACTTGGGCAAGGATCAGACCTGCTAAAGACCATACCAATGCCCGGGACTATGCATTGTGACCATGTTTTTGCCACTCTGAGCAGTGGCCGTTTTGGTCACTGGTGATAGTGATGTGAAGTCCATTTGACGACTTCGTTGGGATTTTGCTAGTGCACCAACCTTAGCTGCCAAGCTCTTCTTTCGTGAATTCAGGCCCATAGATAGTCAGCAGTCAACTTTCTCACTTGCTTCACCCTCGTACAGAGGAAATACTACTTGATGGTGGAGTCTCGGCCTGTGGGCTTTGGTTGTTTGTTTTGGTTTGTTGTTGGGTTGTCTGTGTCTTTTTCTCCACCATCTGATTGTCCTGGAAACTCGTATCCTACGTGCGGCTGCGGTCTGCTCTGTACGTGGGTCCCTGTCTCCACTCGAGTGCTCAATGCCCATTGTCCAAATAGTCTCCAAAGCCCTTCATGATGCTAATGATACACACTCGCATCACTCGCATCACCAGACCCCATTTTCACTGCTTTTCGGACCCTCGCTTTGGAGCGCTCTCCCCCAGTTCCGCTCAGCCCTTAACTCAATTCGCCCTAAAAGCTCAAGCCTTGCCTATTGGCTGGCTTTCGCAATCATATTGTATATATCAATATAGAATTATGTCACACAAAAATAGAAAACGGTTTTGCTCCAAGTCTCACGCTTCGGGGATCCTTGCTGACAAGGCACATTTCGGGACTCTTCATCCTCTGTTCCAGACAAGAAGCGCACGATCTTCGCGACCTGGGCGGGTCTTCGCTGGGTGAAGCTTGGACGGCGAAGAAGCCAAAGGACGGGGCCAGCCCAAGGACGGCCAAGTCACTTTCGATGCTGTAGACTCTAAGACTCTTGACTAGTTGACCCCATCTACTGGATGCTTTCGGCTCACGAAGTTGAAGCATCTATCAGCAGAACCTGAATTCTACCCGAAAGCGTCATCCAATTGTATTATTGGGGCATTCATTGGTTGTCCGTGTGGCCAAACAAAGCATCCTCGACAAGATCTTGTGAAGGTGAAAGCGACTTCTCTCCCCATCCGCGATCCAAAGCCACAGCTGCTACCCCTTTTCAGCAGGTCCCAAACGCTGCTCTTCAGCGCTCCAAACGGCGGCGCGTCTTCCCTTCGGCCCAAGGGGCGCGGCTCAAGCGCCCCGCGCGCGCGCCGATGCGGGCGGCTCGGGCGGCGCGCATGACGATGACCTCAGCGGTTGGAGGTTCAGCGCGGGCGGCGCTCAGAGTGGAATGGATGAGATTTTTTTGGGGGGGGGCTCATGGGCAAGGCCACTCTGGGCAAGTAGAGTTCGTCAGAGTTCTCCCGAACAAATGGGATGAGATTTTTTGGGGCTCATAGGCAAGTAAAGGCCGCTGTTGGATGAATCCAGTTCGAGGGGAAGGCTCCAGTTGGTCCAAGTCACACCACCTCCAGCGCTTGAAGAGGTGTGCAGCCTGCAAGTCAGAAAATGTTCAAGTGCCTTAAGGTTCTCACTTTCACCGTGCACTTTGGTG